TAAACTTTGTAATATCTCAGTTTGAAGCCACAAGTGTAAATCAATTTTTAACTAAACAATTTTAAAAGCAGTTATTGGGCAGAAACAGGGAGTTACTAAAAATGGGCCCTGGATCCTTTTTGGGTGAAGGAAATGTTCTAAAATTCGATTGTGGTGATATTTGCACTGTTCTGAATTTACTAAAAAGCACTGAATTGTATGCTTAAAACAAATGAATGTCATGGTATGTAAACTATATCTCAATAAAGCTTATATATCACAAAATTCACTTGTTAAAAGGTGGTTAAAAAAAAGAAAATGCATACATAAGTCAAAGAGAGAGAGAGAGAAACAAAAACCAACTACTGCATGTTTTAATACCTAACTCGGGTAAGTCATGGCCAAACTGGCCTGGCTACAGACAGGATCCTTTCGGCCACCCCCGTGTGCCGGCCTCAGAGACCTCCCTTCTCCTGGGCCTGCTCAGGACATGGTCTGCGCTCCTCTCAATGCCTCCAGCCCTTACAGGTGGAAGGTGCTCCTCTGGTGTCTTGATAGGGCATAGCTTTTGCTTCTTCTTCCAAACATCAGTTTCTTTTTTTAATTGAAGAACAGTCAGTCTACAATGTGTCAATTTCTGGCATATAGCATAATAGTTCACTCATACACATACATATATTCGTTTTCATATTCTTTTTCATTGTAAGTTACTGTAAGATATTGAATATAGTTCCCTGTGCTATACAGAAGAAATATTTGCTATTTATCTATTTTATATATAGTAGTTAGTATCTGCAAATCTCAAACTCCCAATTTATCCCTTCCCACCCCTCTTCCAAACATCTTTAAATTTGATAGGATCCTCAGATACATAAATGTCTTTTCTGTCCGTAGCTGATCATCTCTGCATCTGACCAGCATTCTGAACTCCTTTATATACTTCCCAGGCCCACATAACTCTAAGGGGTGGGAAGGTGATCCTACTGGAATTTTGGTCATTCCACAGGGCTTTCCTGCCTTCTGATCGCTGCTCATTCTCCAAGCACCTCTGAGCAGCACTCTGCCCTGGCTGTCTATTGCATAAACAAATTCCTGTCTGAGCCACGGCCAATGGAGCTTTCCCCTGCGTGCTGCCGACCACATTCTGAACGGTAGGGTGGGTTATGGCAGCTGAGAGCTGAGAACATTGTGTCATCCATGGGGTCAAATGCCCGCAGCCATGAAGCCAATGAGTTTGTGAAGTTTGTAAATGAGAGGTTCCCCTGGGGCCTTGGTTAGGGCAGCTTAGGGGTGAGGGTGGGGACAGGAGTCTAGCTGAACGTGTGGAGGAGGGAGTGACCCGGCAGGACACAGCAGTGTAGACTACTCTCATAAGTAGAGAAGGGGGACAAGGATGTGTGCTTTGGGGACTGGTGGTTGGGGAGGATCCAGGCTGTCAGAAGAGCTGCAGGAGGAGACGCTGAAATGGGTGGGGGTTGGGGGGGTGGGCCAGGCCACTTTCAGGATGGGCCTGGATAGTAGGTGGACAGGAGAGTGGATGGGTTGGGGAAGGAAGTTAGGGTGCCTGCAGGTATCCTCTGAGACGTCTAGATGGTGTGGCAGGGCTGAAGTGAGTATCTAGATCACCTGGACATTCATGTGAGGGGCCAAATGGGTGCAGAGTCACCTGGTCTGGGCAGCATGTGTGAATTAATTAACCGGGGAGACACACCCCAAGGCCAGGATTTTGTTGGCCCTTTCATCATGCACATGCACATTAACCTCATTTATACATCCATTCAACACACTTTTCCTGAGTTTTGATACTGCAGGGTGTCCTCTGCAAACTGGACCCAGTGTCTCTAGGACAGCCAAGGAAGACTTCCCCACGGGGACCACAGGAGTGAGCTTTGCTGGTGGAGAAGGGGGAGGCACTGCACAGGCCAAGGCCAAAGATGAGTCCTGGAAGTGCAGGGTGGGGGTGGTAATGAGAAATTCAGTTTGGCAGAAGATATGCCAGCCAGGAGACTGGAGGCGAGTTGGGAGCAGACTGCGAAGGGGGTGCTGTTGGGTGCGGTACTGTGGATAACCAGGAGGTCACAGTATGGGAGAGATGCAAAATCAGGCGATGTTGAGAATGACCATTCTAGAAGTACCAAGAAAAACTGGGGGCCGGGTAACCAGTTAGGAGGGTGCTTGGAAAGGCCAAGCAGGAGTTGTTACAGTGGGGAAGCCGGGAGGGAGAGGCGGCCGGGGGATGGGGAGGTGGGTGGCAGAGCTCTGGCTGAGGCGCTCATCCGTGAGGAGAGACCCAGCGCGCAGGCAGGACCAGTCTGGAGCTCTGGAGTGAGCTTGGGGCTGGAGTTTGGTTTAGAAGTTACCTGACTCGGTAGAGGGGGTTATAGCTCAGTGGTAGAGCACTTGCTTAGCATGCTCGAGGTCCTGGGTTCAGTCCCCAGCACCTCCATTAAAAATAAATAAATAAGTAAATCTAATTACTCACCCCCTCAAAAAAAGTCATTAAATTAAAAAAAAAAACCCAACACACATAGAAGTCACCTGAGAATCTGAGCCACCTAGAATGGATGAGGTTGACCAAAACAAGAGCCAAACCCCATGTAACTCTGAAAGGAGAAGTCTGTGAAAGAGTTCAAGGGGAAATGTTAGAGTTGGAGAAATGGGAGAGAAAAGTCTAGTCCATCAAGGAAGCCGCAGGAGCAGGAGGTGGTGGCTGACGCAGGGTCAAGGGACATGTGGCTTGGGGAAAGCTGGGTTCCTGGGCGGAGAAGTCTCAGAAGAATCTAGGTGGGCAAAAGGCACACATGAGACAAGTTACCCTCTTCCAAAGTGATCTGTTTTTATCATTTTGAATAACCTGATTTATTTTTTCCTGTCATATTCTCTCTTGCATACAGACATTCTGGAGATAAGGATGTGTTTATAATATGCTACACGAACAAAGTTACAGAGTTCTGCTTGCTGGTATAGAACACCTTCAGCTAGCCAGATCAGGGCACTGGTGAATTTGCTTTTGGTCTGAATTATCCAAATAAGGCATGGACAGCCCCACATTGCTGAGGTTCTGCGCCTGCTGCAGCTCTACTCAGTGAGGAAGTCCAGTTCAACAGATAATGCTAATAAAGGCTCCCCACAACACTGGCTCCCCGTTTAACAAACAAAACACGTGCACGTTTATTTTCTTGAGTGTGCATGAGACACCCCTGTGTGAACTGCCAAGACCTAGTTGTGACAATGTTGCTGGTGAAGAGAAAGCAGGACTTGAAACAATAATGTGAGGGAAGTCTTAAGTGATTTTTTAAAAAATTATTTTTAATTGAAGTGTAATCAGTTTACAATGTTGTGTCAATTTCTGGTGCACAACATAGTATTTCAGTCAGACGTATACAAAGATATATGTTTTTTTATATTCTTTTTCATTATAGGCTACTACAAGATATTGAAAATAGTTCCCTGTGCTCTACAGTAAAAACTTGTTGTTTATCTGTTTTATATATAGTAGTTAGTATCTGCAAATCTCAAACTCCCAATTTATCCCTTTCCGCCTTCCCCCACTAGGTAACCATAGTCTGTTTTCTATGTCTGTTAGTCTGTTTCTCTTTTGTAAATAAATTCGTTTGTCCTTTTTTTTTAAGATTCCACATATATAAGTGATTCTTTTATTATGCATTCATTTCTTTCTTAGGAGGGGTTCCTAACTGCAGAGTGGAGGAGAGACAAGTTAAGGGAGTTTATTATGCCTTAGGGCCGCGGGTCCTTTTTTCAGTGTCAGATGAGGACAAGCAGCCTCCTCAAGGTCACAGAGCACCAGGTCTTGTGGAATGAGCGAAAAATGTAGTTTCCAGTTCTGGCTTTGCTAACGCTCAAAAGCTGGTTACGCTGAGCAAGCTATTTACCACCCACGATGCTTACTTTCCACATCTGTAAGTGGGGATTATGGAGTGGCTGTGAGAACAGAACTACGCTCTAAATTCCCAGCACGTGTAGGTTCATGAAGCCATTATTAATAACCATGGCAAGATGCCAGACACTGGGTTTCATCTATCGTAAGAATTCTCATTTCCTTCTCACAAACCCATCTTGGTTTTGCAGATGAAGAAACTGAATTTTAGAGATATTAAATAACATTCTGAATATTGCAACTAAATGTCAGAGGATATATAAACTCTTTTTTTGAGGTTTTCTGAACAAAAGACCAGAATCACGGAAGTGCTTTTAGTACTAGTAATAAAAGTATTATTAATATCTTTGCCTAAGGGAATTCGCCTTTAAATTGTTGCTTTGTCTCTCACCCAGAAGTCAGAGCTCAATTTTGCCTTTGAAAGAGGGAGTGGGGGTGGTGGGCAGAGATTTTAAAAGACTTAAAAAGAAAGCAGAAGTGCGCAATGTGTCTTTATAGGTAAGAGTCTGGTAGGCTCTTGTTCTCACGTCTTACTCCTGGAGAAAATTCAAGCAGAGTGTGCAAGATATTTTCGGAAAGTAGGGCATTTTGGAAGCATTTCATAACCTCTCAGACTTGGGGGGGGGGGCGATGGCTGAGCCTCATCCTCATCTGCAGTGAGACAACGGTGATGTCCAAGGCCACCTGGCCTCCCAGAGCAGCGCGGGCTCCGGACCCCGAGCGACCTTGGCGGGCCGCGCGACCTTGAGGCCTGCGATAGCCTCAGTTGCCCCCTCTGCGCAATGGGGAGACGTCCTGGGCGCAGGGCCAGGCGGGTGCATCCCCCTTGGACTCCCTCGAGCTCCCACAGGCCCATTTGGCCCACAGGCAGGCTTCATGCCGGGTCCCGGTCCCCATTCCATCGCCAGCGCCCAACCCCACGCCGCAGAGCAGAGTCGGAGCCCGCGGGCGGGAACCTTCCTGCATCCGCCAGCACGCACGCGCGTCTTCTGTCCCGCCTCTCCAGCTCCATCTCCACCCATAGGCCAGTCACACCATCACTCTGACTAATCAGTAGTCACGATTGGCCAGAGCTGAGGCGCGCGACCGGCCGTAGGCGTGGCCTTGACAGGCTATAAAAGAGACTGGCGGTGGGGCTCGTGCTGCCTTGCAGACGCCGCCGCCGCCGCCGCCCCGGCTCCTCCCGCAGTGCCCAGCCATGGTCAACCCCACCGTGTTCTTCGACATCGCTGTAGACGGCGAGCCCTTGGGCCGCGTCTCCTTTGAGGTTGGGGCGGGCGGTGGCGCGCCGGGTGGGCCCGAGCTGGGGAGGCGGCCGAGGGGCTGGGTGCGGGCGCCCCGCCTGAGGAA